ACTGCTGGGAGCCAAAAAGTCACCCAGATCAGGAGGGAGCTCCTCACCCTCTATTGAACCTGGACACCCACACTGTGACAGGCCAGGAGCCTGGTTGGGATCTGCAGTGCTCAACCAGTCACGGTGGCTTTGGGGACTACAGAGCTCCCACTGCAGTCAGCCCAGGTGGGAAGCGTGGGATCCTCAGCAGGACAGGTCCTCCCTCCAATTTGGCTAAAACCCAGCTCCCTGTCCCATGGCTGGGTCACTCAGCAACAACTGTCCCTCCCCCGGGTGGCACAGCCAAGACCACTGCCTAAAAATCCACCCAAAGGCACCGGGCAAAGCACTCGTGCAGCACTGCATGCAGACCCTCGGAGAGAACCGTGTCCCACCAGCGTCGGGTTTTACCAGAACCATTCTGCAAACGCACTGGTGCCTGGTGTGGATCTGGACGGGCAGGGCTACCCGCTCCTGCCGCGGTCACAGCCTGGCTGTGACACTGGTGACACTGGCCACCCTGAGCGCCTGAGACAACGCCACGACCCGCCGGGAGGGAGGACGTGCCATTCGTGATGGCAGGCGGGAAGTGGTCGGGGAGCCCGCCAGCGGCCGTGAGCGCCTTCCAGCCGCATCCCCGCAGAGAGCAGCTGCAGGGGGCGGTGGGGACCGGGGACCGAGCCCCGGCGGTGGCGGCGGCATTGTCCTTCCCCTCCTTCCCCGCCGCCCCGGTCACAACACGGCGTTACGCAAGCCCGCGCTCCGGAGCTCCCGACGAGCCAAGGCGCCGGGGACGGCCCGCGGGCCCCGGGCTGTCCCAGGCCGGGGGTCCGGCTGCGGGAAGCACCCGGGCGGGGTGAGCGACCCACGGCAGCCCCCGGCACGGACGGGCCCGCGGCTGGCGCGGGGCAGAGGGGGAGAGCCGCGGCGCTGGGGGCAGCAGAGGAACTCGCAAGGAACGCGGCCGCCGACTGCCGCTGGCGAAGGCTCCGACTTTGCCAAGCCCCGAGAAACGAAGAACCACACGCCGGAGCCACAGCGCTCCGGCCGCGACCTTAGGGACGGGAGGCAGCGGAGCCTGGCCCCACACGGAGGCTGTGCCACCGGCGTGCCCCGCCCGCCCCAGGGCTCCGCGCCTTGCCCACCTCCGGCACAGCCGCGCTCTGCGGCCCTGGGCCCCGCCGAGGAACCGCCCCGCGCCTGACCTCAGCTTTCCCCGTACCGTGACCGTGGCTGGGGATCCTGCCCGTCCTCGGCGTCGCCGGGGCTCCAGCCGTACTGCCGGACCTCCACAACACCGAAGCCGCCAGGGCCCGGGCCGCGGCCGCTCGTAGTGGAACGGCGGCGGCCGCTCTTATTCGAACGGCAGCGCCCGCCCCCGCTGCCGCCCATTGGGCACCGCGGGCCGGGGGCGTCACGCGGGCCGCGAATGGCGGGGTCCGGCACTCGCCCCGGACCGCCGGGGACAGCGCTCCGCCGGGCACCGGCACCCACGGGGGACACGTGCAACAGCCCAGGCGAGGGAAGCCCGAGTGTCGGGGGGTTAGAGGGCTGCCTGGGGCCAAGGGAAGGCGGGCAGGGCCCACCCGTTCCCACGGATGGGACCACGGGGGTGTGTGGGAGTGCGGGTCTCAAGTCCCCAGTCAGAGGTGAGGACACATGAGGGGAGGTTGTGCGGGGCCACACGGAGTACTGGAAGGCCACAGTGAGCCAGGGGACACGTGGGGGACTCTGGCGGTGTGTCACATGCAGACACCCCACTCCGTCCTGCGGTGCTAGGCAGGAGTCCTCACCAGCCCCCAAACCTGTCAGACCTACGAGGGGGGCCTCGTGTCACTTGGGGGGTCCTGCGCTTGTCCCCATGGCCACAGCCCCATTTCATCCTGTAGAGCCCAGATAAGTTTAGCCATGGACTGGATGGTGGTGGCACATGTCCCCACACTGCCCAGGCCCCACCAAGAGCTGAGAAATGCTTGTTAGGCCTTGGCCTTCACAAAGAGCACCCAGACTAAGCCCCTCCTGAGCTTACTGGATATAATCTGTTCCAAGGAACTAAGAGATGTTTATCGAGCATCTGTTTTTTAATGAACAGACTTGGAAACTTATTTTTCTTGCCTGAGTAACAACCCAAGCGGAACAGTATTTTTGCTGAACCTTCAACCAACTCAAATTGTGGCCAGGATGGAAAATTACTATGACTAAAGCCCACTCTCTTGAGTCCCTCTAGACAGCAATCCAGAGTGAGACCTTTTGAGCTCTCAATTATAAAGGGCTAATGCATACTGAAGTCCACTCTCTAATGACCCTATAAACCACAGTCCAAAGTGAGTCTCACTGAGCATTCTATTCCCAGAACATAGGAGAGCTAATGACTGTGTCTCAAACACAGAAAATTGGATGGCTGTGGAGTCAAGCAAGGACTCTTGGTAGTAACCAAGGACTGTTGATATTAACACACCATGACAAAGGAAAAGATGTGGCTGAAGAAGGGAGAAAAGGTGAGATAGGGCAGCACTGGAGACACATCCTTGTTGTAGTTCCTGCTGATAAGCACAAGACAGCACAGCATAAGCACAGGGATGAGTGCCAGGAAGTGGGCATGGGCTACAGGGTAGGATTAAGATGACCAAAGACCCCTAAACCCCTCTGACCCATTTCCAGGAAGACCTGAAAGAGCAAATTGCGCATGATAACTAATTTGCATAGAAAATGAGAAATCCATCTTCAGGCTGGAGAAACCAATCCCTAAAAAGGTACCCTGCAATTTCCATGCCAAGCGTGTAATTTACTAATAAAACTTTCTGATTACTTGCAAATCCTGACTTTTGACATTCCTTTCGACCTTGAGCCTCAGGTGCCTCCTTCCCCTTAAAGGTGGGTCATCATACATTCCCTGTCCCCTTGTCCTCTTGGCCCTGCAGGACATGATCGAAGAAGTGACAGGGGTCAGACAGATGTGTTTTCCACCCCAAGAGCATGGCTCTCCCATCACGTCCATGCTGTGTCCGACAGAGAACAGTGGAGACAGGCACCGGATGAACGTGGCTTTATCTACTGTGGCAAAAAATAATAATTAAAAAAAAAAAAAGAACAAAAACAAACAAAAAAACCAAACAAACAACCAAAATAGAGGTCTAAACATGTAAAAAGGAGAAGGGATGGTGTTGGAGCCACCAGGCCCCACGCAGAGCATCACAAGTGGCTGGCTCCAGCCCACCCGTCCTGGTGACCTGGCACATGGTGCTGACCCACACCAGGGCCTCCTCGCACCGGCTGTTCCCTTTGTGCTTGTCCCTGTGCAAGGCAGTGTCCAGCTGACACAGCCTCCTCCCCACAAACACCCACCCACCCACGAGGAGGAGAAAGCCTCGAGCAGTGCAGGTGGGCTCGACGTGCCAATGATGGGCGCCTTGGCATTTAGTAGGAAACAGGGTATCTGTCCAAGTTCTGTGGCAGCAGCATGGGGAGGGAAGGGATATAAAGAGAAAAATTGGGGAAAAAACCAAAAACAACCCAAAGCACTGAAGCAGCAGTGGTGGGGGCAGGTTCAGGGGATGCCAAACTGTACAACCAGTTCTTCTTTGGCGTCGACACGGATCTGTGAGAGCGCACTGAAGGCATAGGCAGCTATCCGGGACACCTGCAGGCAGGAAGACATGGCTGTGTCACTGGTGGCTACTGAAACCCCATTATCCCAAAGAAACTGTTGCAGGAGGTTAGCCTCCAGCCCTAAGGAGTCCCAAAGCCCATCCAGGGCTTTGCTCTCACCTCTAACAAGGCCTTAAACCTGACCTAGGCTTTGCCCTCAGCTCTAAGATCATGTCAGAGCCCAGCAGTTACCTCACATCTGGGGTCTTGTCTCTGTGTCCCCATGGGGCTCAAACAGGGCTGTCTGAGGGCAGAGGGACGTGGGGGCTCTGCCACAGCTCCTCCCTTCCCCTCAGCACACAGGGCTGATCCCCGGGGCCCTCAGCCAAGCAGCCCTGTGCCCACCCAGGGTCACCGCTGGTGCCCGGGGCGTGCTGCCTGCCCCACGGGCCCGGCCTGAGGCTTACATGGCTGTTTTGGCGAGGATGGAGGACAGCATGGCCTGCTCATCGGTGCGTGCCGACGGCAGGCTGTGGTAGCTCTGCTCCGCGCCGTTCAGCACCTTGCTGGGCGGGCTGGCTGCCGGCTCCAGCAGCCGCTTTGTCTCCTCCTCCTGAGGGAAAGGCAAGAGGAAAATCAGCCCTGGCTTCCCCCACACCAGCAGCACTAACCCCAGGGGATGAGGCACGTCTCACCCTTCCCCCACCAGCCAGGAGGGCTCCCTGTGCACCCCAGTGTAACCCTGAACAGCCTCAGCTTGCCAGGCACCTCTTTGCCCAGTTCTTTTGCTTTTTCTCAGCTGAAGCCCGGCCAGCCACAAAGGCAGCAAGTGGCTGAAATCAGGCAGCACATCTGGAGTGGCCAATCCTGCAGGCAGGAGTGTGCAGCCAGCACCAACCTGCATGAAACCCTGCAGCTAATGATGATCTGCTGTGCCCCACCCCTGTGGGCACCACAGAGAGCCCCCCGGCATAGCAGGGGGCTCACCTGAGCCAGGTGAACCCTGCCAGAGCCCAGGGACTGTGGGGGGTTCCCAGAGTCACAGGGCATGTTCCCCCTCTCACTCCAGGAGGTGCACAGCAGCAGCCCAGCCCTTGATGCTCTGGCTTGGCTGAATGGTGATGCAGGGGTTGTGAGAAGAGCGCAGCAGGGAGATCATGGGCACAAACACCCATGAAAACAAGATCACAGAATCAGTAAAAGTGGAAAAGCCCTCTGAGCTCAACTGTTCTCCCAGCACTGCCGAGCTCACCAACCCAAGTAGTTCCCAAGTGCCAAGTCTGCACCGCTTTCAAATCCCACCAGGGTTGGGGACTCCAACACTGCTCTGGGCAGCCTGTGTCACAGCTGTACAACTTTTAGGGAAGTTTCCCCAATATCTAACCTAAACCTTCTACAGCACAACCAGAGGCCCTTTCCTCCTGTCCTGTTGCTTGTTCCCTGCGAGCAGAGACAGGCTTCCACCTGGCTCCACCCTCCCGTCAGGGAGCTGTGGAGAGTGGGAAGGTAATCCCTGAGCCTCCTGGCAGGCTGAGCCCTCTCGGCTCCCTGAGCCACTCCTGGTGCTCCATTCCCTTCTCTGGACATGCTCAAGCCCTTCCGTGTCTGTCTTGCCCTGAAAGGATGCTGAGCTGGGAGTGCAGGCACTTCACACACGCTGTCAGCGGCATCTCCAGCCCTTCCCGGCCGAAGCTTCCCCTCCCGTTGGTGCTGGGGGAAATGCTGCTGCGGTACTCCATGCCGGGCCCTTCTCCTCCCGTCTCAGGGCACAGGTGCCGGCCGGCGGGCTCCCCGGGCCGGGCTGTCACAGCCCAGCTCTCCCGCAGCCGGGATTAAGTTCCGCGGCACAGGTGACAGCCCCGGCTGTGCCCGGGCCCCGAGCTGCGGGGCACTCACGCTGTCCCAAGGAGGCAGAGCTGGCGCCGCTCCCGCCGGTGCCGTGCCAGGCCGGCCTCGGACGTGCACCGGCACCGGCACGGTCTGGCCCGACCCCCGGCACCGGGGGACACGCGCGGGAACGGAGGCGGCGAAGGGCGGGATCAGCGCCCGGAGACCGCCCGGGAGCGGGGAAGGGCCGGGCCGGGCCGGGCCCCGCCGCGGACGCGCGCCGCCGGTCT